TATATATATATATATATATATATATATATAATAAGATTATTAATTCAATGATCTATCATTAAAGCTGTTTATTAAATTGGTTGCAATCCCTTCTGTTCTTTGTTACCAAGTACTGTTTTGGAGCAATTTCCATGTTAAAAACATTATAATACAAAATATATGGAATATTTCAATAACCTTCACCACATTTATACATAAATTGTTTTTCAATAAGGAATACTTAATGTTCGAGAATACTTAAACCGAAGGAATTTATAATTCACTTACAAAAAAAAGACAGTATAATGCAGGATGCACATTGCATACGAAAAATGGATTTTGTTACCACTTTGTTTCTTCATCTTTCATACAATTATATACGTTTTCTGCTTATAAATTATGTTAAATTAAGTTTATTTAAATGATAAATTAAATGATATTTATATAAATGATAAAATAAATGATATCTATATAAATGATAAAATAAATGATATTTATATAAATGATAAAATAAATGATATTTATATAAATGATAAAATAAATGATATTTAATAAGATATTAATCACATAATGAAATGCACGGAAATTAGAAAGTAAAGCAATTTATTGATCATTTTCCTCGCTTTAGTAGTTTTATTAGCTTCATTTAACTATCTAATAATCAAACGCCGGAAGTCGGTTTTAACCTAATTTTAACTGACGAATCGATGTGAATGAATTTTGAATATTTGAAATCTTAATGAAAATTTACAATAATTTGATATCATTGAGGTGATCTAATGATCGAGGCAGGATTATTGATCAGTAACTTATAAAATCTTTGAGTTTAGGTTAATTTGATTCCTTTTGATGGGCATTTTAAATAAAAATATCGTGTTATTTAAACAAAATAAATAAATAATATTCCAAGTTCTTATCGCAAAATGTTTAAATGTACATATATGGAATATGATTTGTTTCTTTTTTTTGTATCTCTATAAATTGTTTCTCGAAATGTACTTACCTTAATTTTTTCTTAGTTTAAACTTAGTTATAACTTATAATATATTAATGAGCAAGCTGTGGTCTCCTATAAGTGAAGGTGCACACTTGTTGTGAGTCCTATTTGCTTTTTGTTTTAATATGATGTTATATATTGTGTGTATCTTTTGTTGGAGATCCTAAATAAAATAAAATACAAAATAAAATAAATCTAACCAGAATTATAAAAATGTTTAAAATTAAAATTAACAAATATTGTAAGGTACTCTGGTGCCATTTTTCAATTTTTTTTTTAATTAATTTTTTATGTAGGCTGTCTGTAACATCTATATAATGCTTTTGAGGCATATAAAACCTAAGTCTCTCCCGTGACCATGACTGCTGTAAAGCATTCGAAACATCGCGGGGAACCAAAAATCAAAATAAACCCGCGAAAAAATCCGAATATAGTTTTATTTAAAATGTCAAATAGGAGTATAAATCTAAGAAAGTCTTGAGAAAGTATTATCGTTTTGATGGTACTTATACTATTGGGGTATACGAGTACAAGTAACAAATATGGGATATTATATCCTATATATCTCACAGTATTTTGGTATCCATTCTAAATACTATATATATATATATATATATATATATATATATATACATATATATATATATATATATATATATATATATATATATATATATATCACAGGAACTATGTCAGTGTGCTTGTTACCTTTTCACGCTTAAACCACTACCACACGGACATAGGCATATCCTTAGCTAACAACAAAAACAAGTGTAAATAATAGTTTTAAAGGAATGCATAAAATAGAGTCTCAATATAGGTCCTTTTGCGTTGTCATAAACTCAGTGTGCATAACGATGCCTGGATGTTGCCTACAGGTAGAGGGCCAGCGATTAATAAGCTTGCTTTGAACATCCATCTCTTGAATGGAAACACGCAGAAACGTGACTGCTACGGGCTAGTCAGCTCGCCGTCAGTTATTTTGAACAAATCAAAATAACTATATATCATAGAATTCTTATTAAAAAAGGTGTGGTAGTTCACATTAAACTGGTATATTACGTCAAATATTCGTGTCGATTATACAACTGTCGAAGTTTAGTATAAGCGATATAGCGATATCTAGTCTAGCCTAGTAAATAAAAATTTACGTTCGTTATGTACGTTAATAAATAATTCAAAAGATATGTATATTATAAAATGTTTTTTTTTTATTATCTATGGTTAAAATAACACTGTGTATGTTAAAATCCATGAGTTCCATAGCTAAATTAAGCAATTTACAATAATCAATATTAGGCAGAATAGTAGGTAACTAAATATAAAGATATTGCTGTAATTTGTAAAAGTTGATATGTACCTATCCTTTTATTTGCAAGAATGCAGTTCAAGAAGGCTAATAAAATGCATATCGTGCGTACTTACAAGTGCACGAATGAATCGCTCTTTGTTTCAAAACACTTGATCCAAATATACATATTTAGAGACGGAATTATTATGAATATATACTATATTAGTGTTGACAACAGAAATTTTGTTAATAAGATATCATTTATGATGAAAAGTGAAAAAAAAATTGGGTAATTTGTTTTAAACTGGCGACGTACCCGCGCTTCACTCAGGTGCGTGCGAATTTCGTGGGTTTTAATTTTTTTGCGCGAAACCCTACTTCTTTTTCTACAATAAAAGCCTAAGTTACTCTTTATAACATCTGCTCCAGTCGTTTCAAAGATTAGTCCAAACAAACAGACGTACAGATTGTTTTTTTTTCTTATAAATACTTTCATATACATATATCGTATAAGTATTTTTAGTAAAAAGCTGTTATTTTGATATTACAATCAGACACTTCAATTATATTTATTTGTATAGATGTGCATAACATATACATATATGGTACCGCAAAGAATAGGTAGGTTTTTATTTATCCTCGCACAACTTGTCATATAGCTACAGCATTTTAAAATATGAATAAATTAATAGTAATATAAGAGTACTAATTAGGAAATGTATCAAATTAAACACATATTTTAATTTATATATTAGTTTCATTAAAAATATTAGCAGTAAATGAAGAATTTGTGTACGAGCCATACTATATTTACCTCAACTGCCGCAACCGCAACTGCCCCAAATAAACTCCAAGTTCTCCAAGTTTTCATCATAATCTTCATTAATCATTCATAATAAATCATAAATATATCATTTTTAGAATTCATATACTTATATATTATACAGGTTTAAGAATTATACGGGATTAATATATAAGTACATATATAAAAACTTAAAAAAAACCGACTTCCAGGCACTAAAATGTAAAAAATTACTAAACTGGGGGTTTTCATTTAGAATAGATACCTAATCAGATATTTTCGAAAACGGTGCCACATACATAAAAAAAAATTCAGACGAATTGAGATCGTCCTCTTTTTTGGAAGTCGGTTAATAAATTTTCAACCTTAAGCAAGCTACCGCCTATTAAAAACAAAGATGAAATAAAAATTAAAGAAAGCTAAAGAAGACCAACTGCATTCCGTACGCTGTTTTATTTTTCTACTCTATTACGTCAAGTGGGTCGTTAGCACACAAGGTTTTATATCGAATCAGGTCAAAAATTTGGGTTCAACTCGATTATAATTCGTTTATTCACCTCTCTAGGTCGCGCTGGCGAGTGGTTATCATAATCGCACGTAAATAATCGGAATGGGCAATTTGGCAATGAAAACTATAACATAAGTCTAATATGTATGATGCTTTTTATTTAAATTGGAAATAGTATATATACAAGTATTGTTAACGATCTGTTATTCATATCATTTTGTAATAATATGTATAATATACGGTTATCGTAATAAGGGTACTCGTATTGATATTTATAGCTTCTATTTGGTAGATAAAGGCCCGATTTACAGACTATTGCTGCAAAGTAAATTGTAAAATTAAAAAAATGTTTTTAAAGTATATTATAAATGTATTTTGATGGTCACCGACTGTTGAACGTTATTTTGGTCAATTTACAGTAATAATTAACCAAGCGAAATTCTATAAAAATATTTTGTAATATTCCTAGACAATCAAATAAGTAAGAGTTTATATGATACACTAGCGACTCACCCTCGCATTTTGATTCCCCATACAAATTAATCCCCATTTTCACCCCCTTAAGGGATGATTTCTGAGATAAAAAGTATCCTATGACCTTTCCAGGGTATCAAATTATCTTCTTACCAAATTTCATCTAAATCGGTTTAGTAGATCCAAAGATTACCCCCTACAACGTCACAAACTCACAAACTTTGCCTCTTTATAATATAAGTATAGATTGCTGATTTTATAACAAACTTCAGTAGAAAAATAATAATAGACCAATGATTCTCTAAACACGTTATAGGAAACATTAGATTCACCCTCGCATACTGACCCATTGGACGAATAGGCATGGTCTAAAAAGGAAATCCTACTTGCGCACGCGCAAGCGATATGAGTGTGTCGCGTACAACTACAACCATTTCAATTATATAGATCACAGAATATAATTAACTATTGAAGGTCCGTACTAATACAAAGTCTGTTACAAGATATTTGAATTCCATAAAGATAAAATAATCGTTTGTAGGTAATTATATTTTTTACAAAAGATATTAACTGGAAAATTGTTGTGAAATCGAATTTTTATATCGCCTAATAGAATAAATAATATTTTTTTAAGCTTTGAGAATCAGATCAACATTTACACTTTATGCGAACCAAACTAGCAATCTTGATCAAGCAAAGTTTATCACTGAGCTATACGATTACATATATCCTTACATCTCATCGAAAAAATATCGAAATTCACGACCTTCTAAGTATATTTTGAAAGACGCCCACAATAAATAACAAGTACAAATCATGTGTATATAATCGGTTCATCCAAGAGAAAAAATACAAATTGTATCATGACAACACCCGCTATTAAATAAATGTTAGGATATAAATCACACACCTTTGTAATTATATAAACGTGCGTTTTTATTTATGCGTAATGATTTATATGCGATTATCAATCGTTCGAGGTGTAGCGTGGGTGCAACGTAGGCAGTGGGTTGGCTTTAAGCCGCTGCAATCTTTGAAGGTGTTAATTGCAAACAACTCAAAAGCAAACTGAATTCCGAAAAAGTATAAAAAACTTAAACTACGTTGCAAAATCAAAAAAAAAAGAAACGACAAAAAGAACCTAAGAACCATCTATTGTCATACGTATAAAATATATCGAAATTGTCCTTCTCCTTTTTGAAGTCGCTTAAAACTGCATGTAAAATATAGCGTATTCATGATTTTGGATATGGGTTTTTTTTTATATTGTGTATTATAAGTATAGGTGTGTAGACTATAAATAAGCGCATTCCGATCCTCTCTTTGTTACAGCGGTGTTCAAGAATCATACGAAATCTTGAATTCCTATCATCATACCATATCTGTACTTTAATTATAAAATCCTCGTAGCACTTAACACGCAAATTTATTATCCAATATTATAACATATCCCCAAAAGGTGGTTAATGATCACGTTTATGAAATATCAAGAATCCAGCATCCTCTGAGCGGGCAATGACCTAACAAGTCAGTATTCTAAATCGGAGACCCTGCCAATACGCTGTTTTGACAGTAAAAAATATATTTCAGAAGAACCCGCTGGTCTTCCTCTCTAAAAACCAGTAAATTGGCTATTATGTTACTCGCGCAAACTGCATTTAGAGTTCGTAATAGTTTGTTTGTAACCAGTTACGACTATTTGTTGGTGCAGTAAAGTTTGCACAAAATGAGAAAATGTTTCGTCGACTACCTACAAAAAGACCTAAACGTTTATGTGGCATTGTCCGGCTTTAGAAGTTTTCATGCCCATCATGGGCCTTTGTCACGTAGTCGGACTTTCACGACGTTGCAGTACCATAACAAACCGGTGGTCCATTCAACGAGACCAAAGTTATCTACGGAGACCACACCCATCCCCTTTTCTTTTCCGTTTTTGGTTATGAGAAAAAGCTATGCGTGGTCGACTTTATATTTATGTCGTACTAGCTTCTGGAACAGATTTGTATAAACGTGCGTGTCTACTAACTATATTATAATATCGTGTACATTTCCATTTCTTCTACAACCACAAAATAAGTTGAATAATACTCTAATTATTATATAATGAGTCTTAAGAGGAGGTACTCAATTCTTTTTATATATATATTCTTTATATATATATATATATATATATATATATATATATATATATATATATTGTATAAGTAACGCGAAATCTTCGCCAATTATGCGAACCGATTTTCATATAAATGGTACCTCTAGCGTGGTTCCGTTTAAAAGTTATTTTTTTTTAATTTAAATTATATTACTATTACATCAATTCAATTCAATTCTCTTGTTAACGGCTTCAAAGCGTGCTAGTTGATTATTATTACATAGGTTTTATTGGAAGTTTTAGCTATCTCTTTGGTTTGTTCGAGTAATACAAGCTTTTAGCTATAGGTACATTTAATTCAAATTATTAAAACCTCATTGAAAGGCTTTTGAGTAACCTGACTTAGATAAGCATAGATTCTAAAAACTATTGATAAAGCTTTCATTAAATCACAAACATTCCCTAAATTTATATTAATTACTCAAAAATAATTAGTCTAATGTAAAATTTCAATCCAATTACAATTTTATTAAATATTATAGATTTATTTATTATAATTTACTTTATTATTGACTTTGAATTACCTTTCACAGATTATATAATTTATATATCTATGAAAGTTAAATGAAAGTCTCTTTTGATTATAATTACAGGTATAATCTTGTTCTTTTAAAGCTTAAATACTTTCTACTTTAGGCAAGTTTGTAAAATATTTTTAGCACGACAATATTTTTAAATATGAAATGAAGGTTTCAGAATTCCATGAACATCAAAGTTACTCGCTAATGAGATTTGTTGAAAAGCTTCCAACATGCTCATTTTTTTGATTTTTCGATCTCTTCATGTTTTGTTTAAGAAGACTTGTAAAAACAATATCGTTTGCTAAAAACTTACAATCGCTTTACTTCGGTGTTTTTTTGTATTTATAATATCTTATTGTGGCAGCGTCACCTTTTGGCAAATTTTATTACAAACAGTAGTCTATGTGTTACACCAGGTCCATATTTAGGTAGGACATATAGTCTATTTCCCCATGATGTGTGTTCACCTTGATGTAATGTGGGGGCTCATTAGCGTCCGGCAACCAAGCCGGGCGCGAAGCCAAGAGACACACAAGGAGGCGACCCACTTCGGTGGGCGATTTGCCATGTGGGTTGCTCCTGGTACTTCTCTGACAGTAGAGTGAATCGTGGGAGCGACACCTTGGTTATGTCGTCTGCTTCGGCAGACCTGTCATAGTGGTTGAGTGCGTTAGTGATCCTGCGACGTCTCATTGAAACGGGGAAGGTTCCGATGTGTTTTAGTGGATAATACTGGCTTTGCCTGTGAGTCCCACATAACAACCTGTATACTTGCAGGTGGTATGCGTAAATGCATATTCCCAACGTTAAAAATTTCATTTCATGTCAGTGTACAAACATACACACACTTACAAACATATAATAGCAGTCCGGTAAGCAAAGTTTCATTCATTAATTAATGCTATCGGTTTTGCTATTTATAAAATCAGCTTATCTTCAGTCGTTTAACTCCCGATTATTATTATACTTACGTATTTGAAAGTAGGTACATTCAACGTTCGTTTGAGTTTTCCCCTAAGTGTTTCTGGCAATGATCCGGGCGCCGGCGGAAGTGCAGATTGGCATCCCGGGCGACCACCTCCGATGAACAGACACGACGTTGTTCAAATGACACTGTCCCGCTGTGTACTTGTGTCCTGTTTAAAATTACCACCGATTTTATTATTAAGCTTACTCTTCACTTCATACACTTCACAACTTTCGAAAATTTGGCAAAATATATCAGAAATCTTTATGAATTCAGTAAAATATAAAATATACATTATAATTATAAATACCGATCTATTAGGTTAGAGATTCGATAGCCAATATATTCGATAGCACGTACTCCATGGACCATTCACAATTGTTCTGGCCTAGAAAATACTCTAGTGTCTAAATACTAACAATTAGAATACGAAAAAGTAAAGTAAGAAAAAACACGTGAACTAGGAATATTAATGTTATTATCATCATAATGCATTACTACCATATCTATTTATTACCATATCTATATTATCATTACTATCATAACATGCAGGTATAATGTATATATCAGTTTCTTTTTTTATGTATGATGAAAAATATTTAATAACGTTAACCAAAAAACACACAACAAAAGGATTTTTAACTTCATTTGTTGGAGGTGTAATATAAAAATTTTGCAAAATTTGGCAAAGAATATGGGACTATTTTGACGTTATATTAATTAAGTGTCACACTCACTCAGTATGAGGACAATTTGTTATTCCCACGCCTGATGTATCGTGACGCCTGCGTTCCGTATCTCTTTTTATATGTATGTACGTCATTTCAATGTCACTTCAACTAGTATAATCTAAAAATAAAAAAAAACATTTCTGCAATATCAAATATATTCGACAAACGTTCGTTTTCTCTTTTCCACAAATTGTAGGTACTTGTTGAATATAAAGAAGTAATTTTTTTTAAATAAAACTATCTTTTCGGATTTTTTCGCGGATTTATTTGGATTTTTTGTTCCCGACGTTTCGAATGCTTTACAGCAATCATGGTCACGGGAGAGACTGAGGTGTTAGATGTCTCGAAGGTTGTTACAGACAGCCTACCCACAAATAACAAAATGAAAATTGCACCAATTACCTTACAATATTTTTTAACTTTAAACATTTTTATAAGTCGGGAACCAGAAATACAAATAAATCCGCGAAAAAATCCGATAAGATAGTTTTATTTAAAATGTCAAATATTCGCGTAAATCTAAGAAAGTATTAAGTAAAAACTTAATTAAAACAATAACATCAACGTAATTATTTAACTAAATACTTATAAGTAGTTAAATCTGAAATACTTAATTTATATAGTAACATTTATAATTACTAAATAAACTATTTCAAATTGTAGATAAAGAAGTAAATTAATTACGCCTATATTAATTATATTTATGAATTACCTACATTCGATACAAATCTTCGGTATTTAAAAGAGCAACTGTTGAGTTTCCCGCCGGCTCTTCTCAGCAAAACTGCTTTCCGAACCGGCGGTGGTAGCGTCCTGACGGACTGACTACACTGACTCTCTTTGAATTAAATTGACGATTTAAAAGTGTTTATAATAAGTCTATTTGAATAGTTTCATTTCATGTAAATTACGTCTGTATTAAAGTACTTAAATCCTTTTGATCCCAAGTAGTTCTTGGTCATGATTTCACCACATTCTCATTTATTTTGTTTCATAACAAATTCAAAAATATAGCATTTATTTGTACATTAAATCTATTAAACTGGTCATTAAATTAATTTATAATCTGCTTGTAAATTCATTTAATTCATTAAACATGTAGAGAATTTCAAACTGATTGCATACTATTTGATAGAAGCAATTTTTAAAATTGGTGACATAATGAAATTATCTCATTCAAGATTCTAGTGAGATTTTAGCGAGCATAGTGCGTGACGCTGACGTACGTGCTCTGACAACCTTGAGCGTGGTTTGCATTATAGTCGAGTTGTGTTACGATACGCGGCAGGCGGCAGGCCAGCTCTCGCCTCGACGCTCGCCGCTGACGCCTTCACTACACCCGCTATTATTAAACGAGTTCATTGGAACATCTATTTGCGCAATTTGTAGCATCGCACCTAAAGCATTCCGATGAACTCACTCTGTCTCTTCATATGCATTTATTTGATACTTACTCATTATTCAGTGTCACTTTTTTTTGAACGAAAATGGTAGTTATAAGTGCACTTTTTTCATGTATACATTTTATTTATTTTCAAGCTACAGTACAATTTCTAATTATTTAGAATATTTGACCAATCAAAACTAAGCAATATTGTAACTACGAGGCGCCATAAGGGTAGATGCAATACGCATGCGCTTTCAATGTTTTCACACGCGCTATTCATTCAATGCGCAAGTGATCAGAGTCTCGCAACGGGCCATTTTTCGGTATATATTCAACTTATCTGAGCGAGTTGCGTCGGATATGGAGTTTTTAAAGTCAAATCGGGAATGAAATTTTAAAATATTATCGGTAAATGCGTCCGGCGAGGTGCGATCATAGCGCGGCGCGGAGAGGGCGGCGCGAGTGTGCGCGAGTGCGCGTGTGGTGGTGAGGCGGCGCGCCTTCAGTCGGCGGCAGAGAGTCGCGCGCGTCGTCTCGTCCGCTCGCCGTCGCTGCACCTCCCGCACACCTGCCCGCTGAGGCCCTGCTCACTCTCACGCTGCGCGGAGGTCACTCCGACCTCGCCGCTCGGTTCGGTTCTCGGCGATTTCACTCCGCGTCACAACAGGTTAGACCCTCGATCTTCGAACGTGCTATGCCGGTGCCGTGACTCCGGGCTACGGACGCCGTTAGCTGTGACAGTGAAATCGTGATTTTCCAATTGGTGCGGATGTGCAGTGATGGATAACTGAGACAGAGCGCGAGTGTACGCGCGAAACGCATCTTTTTTCTGGTGAAGAGACAGCGGATCGTCAAAATTGAGCCCAAACTGTATCTAGGTGGGTATCGTGTGAGGAAAGCCGCGATGAGAGTGGTCGCTGGCAAGTGGCAGAGCGTTCGCTGAATATTTATAGCATGTCAGTAGGAAAGTGTCGTCCGTGTGTCGACGAGCCAGCCCGCACCGCGTGCCGCGCCGCGGCGGCCCGCATGCCGGCCGTCCGCTCAGCTGATCTCTTGTCCTACAAAACATTTCGTCACTGTTGATAAAACGGTTAACTATATTCTGTGACATTCTAGTTGATGTATTTAGTTCATTATTTGTACTGTGTAATATTGATGTTCCTGTTATTTTACATTTATTTATAGATAGAAACTAACACCTCATTTTAATCTACATAAATAAAAATGAATGTTGTTAAGCTCAAAACTCGAGAACGGTTCGACCAATTCAGCTATTTATTTTTTTGGTATGTTCTTTAAGGTACACGGCAAGTTTTAATAAAGAGAAAAAATGAAAAATTCAAATTTATATGGCTAACGCTGGCTAATAACTATTTATATATATTTAAAACGTACTTAGTATATTATAATTTCTATTTAAAATTGATTATAATTCATAATAACTGCTATGAACTTACATCTTATTCCGCATTATATCAAAATATGAAATAGTTTTTTTTTAAATATACTACCTAGTCAAAGATTACAATATATGCTTGCTAATATGTAGTACCAAAAATAACCTATTTACTTAAAATAGTTACAAACAGCGCTGATAACATAATAATTATACCTACTCGTTGTTGCGGCATTAATTTCCTATTTGATTGCGACTAAGACCTCAATTCTCTAAAACTGCTTATTTGTGTCAACATTATTAAGCACTAACGATTGGTTAAAAGGCAAGATAATTTACATTATTATAACTTTACATGTATCGAATTTTCTTATGTATTTTTTTGCTGACATACTTAAGTATATAGCTTGCTGACTTTAGCTGAGTCAGGTCAACAACATGCAACTGTAAACAGCTTAACGTCTAACAATATGCAAATTGAATTAGACTCAAGTCCAATAGTCTAGCATTAGATATAATGCCTTCATTGGATAAAGGTGGTCCTTTATTTGTATTTACTAGTACATATCACTATCTATACATATAATAAAATTGATGAAAACTAAGCCGAATCTGTACATTAAATATTTTTTGGAAAATCTTATTGAAATTAACATTATTATCGATACAGAGGCCGAATCTATAGTTTTTAGAATTTTTGTCTGTCTGTCTGTCTGTCTGTCTGTTACCGCATCACAGAAAAACCACTGGAGGGATTTTGATGAAATTTAGTATATTGATAGCTGGTTATCCGGGTCAACATATAGGATACTTTTTACCGCGGGAAAATATCTCATTTCTGAGAAAATATACAAAAACTGCAATGTAAGAGCATACTAACTGTAAAACCTAAGAATTTGGTTTTTGGTCATCGGAACGCGGACGGAGCCGCGGGCAATGCTAGTTTATTATATATTGCATATTCGTTATGATGCTTATTATTTGTAAGATTCTCTTTATTTATATTTGCTTAGATGTTTAACCCAATTATACTTTAATTGAAGTTTTTATTAACATTTTTAACTATCACTATTATCTAACACTATTATCATTGTAAATGGCTAATTTTACGTCTAAATAAATTAAAGTAGATGAGCCAATAATAAAATGGTTTGGAATAATATCATCTTACAAATACCTTATATCAATTTCTTAGGAAAGGAGGAAAGAATAAGAAAAAATTATAGTTTAAATTAAACAAAGTTTTATAGTATTTTATTTGATTACAGCTTTCTCTGCTATATTAATATTATTTATTATATACTAGCTAAGTACCCTTCTTCGCTCGGGTGCGTCCCTAAGCTTGAATAACTAAGAAATGCATAAAAGACAAACGGTCAAAAGAAAATTCTTTATTTTTCGCCAGGAACCCAAAAGAGTTTCATCACAATCGAATCAATGGATTAGGAATGGTTTAGAAAAAGACAAACATACGAATCTTCATTTACTATATTTATTTATCTATATAGATTTTACCTAAAAACTAACGAGTTACCTTTACGAAGATTTTAATATAGATTTCCTCAATGTGTACGTTAAACCATTTTTTCACTTGATATTTAATTAGTGAAGTAATTTATCTAAGTAATGTGTGTATGAAATAGCTGTGTCGTCATGCAGTGGGTAATGAGTAATTTTTAATAAGTCTATTATAATTTAATGTAAATTACTAACGAATCAAAATATATATATATATAAATACATATATATATTACTAGCGGCTCAGCCTCGCTTCGCTCGGGTTCACCTCAAAAAATATAAAAACAAATCTATCCCACGGGAACAGTACCTTTTTTCGAGATCAAAAGTTGGCTATGTGCTATTTCAGACTATATTCTATCTCTGTGCAAAATTTCATCCAGATCCGTTCAGCCGTTCTGGCGTGATTGAGTAACAAACATCCAAACATCCATCTAAACTTTTAGAACATAATATTAGTAAGATTATGCACAAGGCGTAGAAAGTAACAAAAATATTATATTTTTAATTAAATAATATTAAAAAAAATACCTATAAATAAATGAACAACTTATTAAAAATAATTACAATATTACGTTTTATAAAAGTATACCATTGTAATGGAGGTGCAGCGCCGGATGTTGTAATACTCTGAAAAAAACGATGTCAATGACATGATTTAAAACGAGTATATTAAAAAATATTGTAAAAACTATTAAAATATAATATTGTAAAGTTGTTTTAGTTATTTCAAACAAAAAATTAATTGTGTGAATAAATTTATATCATATATTAGTCCGCAGGCATTTTGACTTAGCAACATATCTGTGATATCATTTGCAAGGCTTACTTAAAATTATAACGATGGCCGTGAAGCGAAGAATAGAAAAAGTGTGCTAATTTTTAGAATTAGCACAAGGTTGTGCCCTCGATTTGCACATGGAGAGCATCAGCATCCGAATCTATCGGTCACTGAAACCTGATAGAGCCTCGTGTTATGTTATTTTAATCATTTTATACAATTTTAATATTAATATAATACAATTTTAATATTATACCTACTTACTGTGTATAATTATTACAACTTCTTGACTAGATCCACTCTAAGTCTGTCCGTTTCGTCCAAAATAAAGACATCCCGTACTTATCAATGTTTTTACAATATACCTACCTGGAAGTATTAATATTTAATATTGATGAATGAAAATTAACGTATGTATGTCGTGCTATAACCCGTAAACTAGTAACATCACACACATTTTATTATTTTTAAAACATATTATTATACATAACTCGTATATACTATATTATAATAAAAAAGTAACAACATATACCTACAGCTCTTGTAAGTATATACTATCGAATATTACCAAAAATATAATAAGTAGCAAGTTTTGCTAATCATTAGCTCGGTCTTTCATAAGAGGCATCAAATTCTAATGACGTAAGTGTGCGTTAAATTTCCTCCTTCCTTCGGCATTCAATCGAAACCGGTCGTCCTTTTAGAATAGCGCACCAAAACTTAATTCGAAATCTCAAGTGTATTGCACCGCGTTGATTATCACTTGGGGTGTCATGACAGTTGCTGTGTTCTTATGTCAACAGGCGCGATTGCAGGTGCCTCAGTGCGCGGTCGTTGACCCGCCTGTCACAGATATTTGGCTACCACAGTATACACACCCAAACTTATAACTAAAGATAACGGGCCCGCGCCGAATGTAGCCGGTCCGGGAAGCGGGACGGGAGCGACGAATTTTGTATGCTTAGTCTAGTCACTGTTTGGGCTTAGACGTTTAGCTGTTGATTTAGGAACTCTATAATAAAATCTGCTTATCTGTACATATAATAAAATTGTAACTAAGCCGAATTGTACATTAGATATTTTTTGGAAAAACATTATTATCGATACAGAGGCCGAATCTATAGTTTTTAGATTTTTTGTCTGTTTGTCTGTTACCGCATCACAGAAAAACCACTGAAGGGATTTTGATGAAATTTGGTGTTGTGATAGCTGGTTATCCGTGTCAACGTATAGGATACTTTTTACCGCGGGAAAATATCTCATTTTTGGAAAAAAAATACAAAAACTGCAATGTAAGAGTATACTAATATGTAAAACCTAAGAATTTTGTTTTTGGTCATCTAAACGCGGGCGGAGCCGCGGGCAATGCTAGTATGATAAAATAATAAAATTTGTCTTTCCATCTCATAGCTACGGAATCAGAGATCGACTAGATTTGTTTTAAATAATGATATAAAAAAGTGCCATTATATTTCTATGTTGTAAAAAGTTCTATATTAAGGACATTAGCCTTGCACATAATATATAGGTACTTCTTAGCAATATATATTTCTCAACAAAAAGGTACCCCAACTTAAGATATTATCTTTGGCGGTGATATTATTTTTCGATACATATACCACCCAATGGTGCCTCAATAGGCATAACATATACTTTTGAAAAATAGTCATGAGAAATGAAATACACACAAAAAAATTATCTTTGAAGTTGACCAAATGAAAAGTCCGGAGATCATGAATATGGCTTTACCTAGCAAAAACAAAAAAACAACGCCATGTATAATATTTACAGGAATAAATGTACACAGTTCGATAAACTTTATATATAATACGTTTTAAATGTGAAATATAGTTCCAATTTATTTCATCAGATTTAAACCCTGCTACGCCAAGAAACCGGTAGTTCAAGTTTCGTTTTGGTTCTACTGAGCTTAAAGATAGTAGGTAGTGTTATAAAATTTATAATATAGCATGAAATTATTATAAATAATTAATTAATGAACTGTATCTATCTATCAAGAAATTCTACGATTAATAATATTTTTGAACACAGTATAAGTTAGATGCAAATTTTACATTCATTAAAATGTATAATTGCAATAAAAATATCATGCATATTTTCGGACATAATATTCATACCTTATAAAAGATTAACTAAAACAAAACTGCATCAGTAATCCCAAAGTACATCTTAAGATAAAAGGATACAAACAAATGCGGCTTCCCCGAAAACTGCACCAAAAAACAAAGTTCCTCGCTCGGTCACTCACACGGGGTTAAACTCCAGGCCCGCGGTAAAAAACCGGGCGCGTGTTCAGGACCTTACAAGAGAATTAGGACACCGTGCGGGCTATTTCGGTGCCTGAATTGGGGCGAACCGTTAACA